GCTCAGGCAAGGAAACAGAAAGTGTTTATTAAGCTTGTCCACTGGGGCCCTTACATTTTTTTTCCTTAGAAAAATTAACAAATTAAAAAAAATTGTTCTTGGACAGAGCCAAATTATCTTTGGATAAAATACTCAAAATGTTGTACCAATGCACTAAGGAGAAGAAGAATGATTAAAAGGACCAATCTCTTTCAAGGTTCATTTATATTTTAGATTGAAAAAAATGCTCATTTTGAGGTATGGTGAGCATGCTTGTAAAGGAAAAGCCATAGGCGACAATGGAGGTTTAATATTAAAAACAGGTTGTTTAAATATGCTGTCTTAGCTACAAGAAAATGTCATTTTGCTCCCAAAAGGGCAGTCAAAGAGCATGCGTAGTGCTTGCATAAACCAGCCGGCTCCAATCCAAACCTCCTTTGCTCAACAACAACCAGGCTCGCTAACCATAGGTTTAGATGCTAAAGCTAGCTCTAAACATGTTACAACAGGCATATGTGTGTTGCTGATGTCATCAGAAGCTTTTTTAAAAAAGCATTTTGTAGCTGTAAGAGTTTCTGTGCCAGTAAGAATCCTCTTACAGGAATTACAGATTCACATGATGTACAGTGGTGCCCCGCATAGCGAGGTTAATCCGTTTCGGATTAACCTTCACTATGGGGAAACATCGCTATACGGATCAAAAAAAAACCATTGGAACGCATTAAACATCGCATAACGAGCACACTGATGTTTCTTCACATTGCAAGGGGAAACAGCTGTTCGGCGGTGGCCGGAACCACCCAAAATGGCCGCCGCAACCACCCAAAATGGCCGCCGGAAACACCCAAAATGGCCACCGGAACCACCCTAAATGGCCGCCGGAACACCCTAAATGGCCACCGGAACATGGGGAAACATCGCAGAACTGTGAGTTTTGGGCCCATTTGGAACGGGTTTTTTTGATCCGTATAGTGATGTTTCCCCATTGCGAAGGTTAATCTGGAACAGATTAACCTCGCTATGCGGGGCCCCACTGTATTATACTCTTCACATAGATGTAGCAGATAATTACTCTCTTCTTTCTACTTTCCCTAAGAGAGTAAATAAAAGACAGAGGGGCTGAAGGAAAATTACACATTTGTGTAGTGTTAAAACCATAACTCTGAATATGCATAGGGTTGATGTGGGGAAATGGGATGCACACATAAGCTTTGTCCCCTACTACAGCCCACATTACTTTGAAAGCAGACCTTTGTATATTTCATACAGTGGTTTGTAGCAAAGCCTGTAAGTGCATTCATTTGACCATGCTTACAAGTGCTTCTGATTCCCAGTCACAGACATGCTTTCAGAAATGAGAGAGGTTTTTTTTTAAAGAAACTATAACAGTAACTACCTTTCCAGGTTTTGATACTATAATTGTAACTAATTAATTCTGAAAAATAACTTTTAAATGTGGAAACTTCTAGGTTAGGAGCAAGAAAATCCTGTAGTGCAGATACCCATTGTGTACAGTGGAAATGAAATGTAGGAATCTTGTAGCATATGGACAACATCCCCACATTTCATTCCAACTGTACACAATGGGTAGATCTTGGGGGTGGGAGGGCTTTCAGCTAAAATATTTAGCAGACCAAAGGTTCTGTACCCTTGTTACGAACATATTACTAAGCCTAGACTGAGATATACCATACATCAGAGACATTGGTTTTTGAAGAAAATAATCATAAGGAAGCAAGAAGGAAGTCTATGAAAAACGTAGCAGCCAAACTTCCTTTCAAATTTTGAGTAGTTCAAATGCTGAAAAGATGCTTAAGTGAAGATCTGTACTTGTTAGAACAAAAAGAAGTATTTAAATCAGCCCCATTGCACTTATATAACTTGTAGTCAATTAAGTGATCCATTCTTGACAATTTAATTTGAACTAATTACGTTACCCTGTTTCCAGGGTTCTGTGCTATAACCCTTGTGTCCAATACTGGAGTTAGCAGTAGGTGATCTTTTCCTAGAACATTAATCCTTTCTTATCTTCTGGCATTTGCCATCTGGAATTTTCAGCTGCCAGAATAAGTTAGTCAAGAGGGCTTACTATACCAAACAGAAATGGACTTCAAAGCAAAATGTACAATGCCAAGACTGATGAAAAATATTTAAAACATTAACTGATATTATAGCAGGCTTTGATATAATAATATAACTAGGGATGCTCCTACCAAAGAAGTTGCAATGTTGGTCAGGATATGGTGAGTCAACTCCTCCTCTGTTTGTACTGTGATGATTTTTTCAAAGCCTTTTACTATGACTCGAGTATTGTAAAGATGCAATATATAATTGATGTAACACTGGCTAACATCCTGTTGTTTAGTGTAATAGGTCAAACTAGAAGAGACCCATTAAATAAGTGGAGATTTGATGACTCAACTCCTCTGTAAGTTCCATTGAGCCCAAATCTCCAATGCCCCTCTTGAGTACTTTAATTGCTATATCATGCTGATTCTTGGAGCACGGAGCACCTGGCATTCAGTATCCCAGGTCTTCTCTGCCATGCCCCTGTGAAATCACAAGGCCCTACACCTTGGTCTCTTTTTTTAGCCCTAGAATCTCAGTCAAATTAATGCTGCTGACCTGGCAATACTATTGTTGTTGTTACACACCTTCATGTTGGAACCAACTGATGGTGACTGTAATGGAGTTTTCAAGGTAAGTGAAATATTTAAAGAGTGGTTTTCCCAGTTCCACGCCCCCAGTGAGTTTCCATGGTTATGTACGGATTCAAAACCAGGCCTCCTAAGTCCTAGTCCATCACTCTATCTACTACACCACACTGGCTAACTTGGCCATACTTTTGGCACCTGTCAAAGTACATATCTAAATGAATGGTGTTCCTTGAAGAATGTACACAAATGATGCATCTAAGAGCACCTCGATTGTCATGTGATGGGCTCTTATTTATTTATTTATTTATACCCTGCCCATCTAGACACATCTACTCTGGGCAGCTAACTATAAAAATAGAATAAGAACAATATAATAAAATAAAAAGCAACAACAATAATATAGTTCAAGATGGGGAAAAATAAAAAAATAATCAAGTGATGACAGGAGGGAAAGCCTGCCTAAAGAACCAGGTCTTAAGTTGGCTCTTAAAAACACCCAGCGAGGGAGCCAGACAGATCTCTAAGGGGAGACTGTTCCAAAGGCAAGGGGCCACTGCCAAGAAGGCCCAGTTTCTTGTTCTTTCTCTCCCAGACTCCCTCTGTGTTACGCCCCTCAACTGCCCTTCCTGGCTAGAACGAGTGATTCGGGTAGATCTAGGTGGGAGGAGGTATTCCGTTAGATATCAAGGTCATCAACCATTTAGGGCTTTGTATGTCATCATTAACACTTTGAAATCAATGTGGAAACGAACGGGCAGCCAATGTAAGGTAGCCAGAGTAGGGGAAATATGCTGATATTTTCTCGTCCCACTAAGAATTCTGGCTGCCGCATTCTGCACTATCACCAAAGTGAAATGAAGTCCAACTGATTTCCATGGCAGAGTTTACTGTATGCTGAACATTTCTAATTTCTTTGCTCCTATGCATGAATCTAAAGCATTATGGTAGGTAAGGACTGTTGAGAGTTTGGTACTGTACTGAATTCCAGTACAATGCACAGCAGAAGTGCCAGCCGGTTCAGGCAGAATTAGCTAGAAGTTCCCTTTTGTACCCACCCCTCACCAAACACTAGCACTCAAGAAATAACACTCAGAAGGCCTTATTTTGTATAAAAGAAAGAAATCTATATTCTACTCACGAAGATAAGCATTTAGAAGGTTTCAGGTAGATACAGGAATAAAAAACAGCAAATACAATGTTCTTCTGTTCTGGCCCCACGTGGCTGGAGGGATCTCCAGGCTTAGTGGGCCGGCATGGAGTCTTACATCTTTCCAGGTGAAAGGCGTGTGCAGGAATGGTGGCCAACAATGGTGGTTCAAACACCTCATGGCCAGGAGGGCGGGAAACAGGGGTGGAGCCTCCCTACCCAGGAACAACAAACTCTCTCTAATTGGTCAGTATGTAAACAAACAAGCAAACAAGTTAGTTTGTGTTGCAGGCCCTTCCCCTTTGAAATTTACGTCTAGATTGCTTGACCATCCAACAAGGACAGCTTCACACAGTCTTTTTGGGATAAGGTTACTTTGAGTTCCAACATAATTGGTTAACTAAGATGAACCAGCAGTAAAGCACAGCAGAGTAAGCCCCACTGAATATTTTGAGGCTTAGCTCTGATGAAAGATGCATAGAATTACACCATTAAACTTCTGTTCCTGCCCCATTGCTAAGTGAGATTTATAACTGGTTCAAATACTAAATATTGATATAATAGCCTTCCAAACATTCTGATTTGGTATTGGCTTCAGTGAAGCATATTTGAGGAGAAGAGTTAGAGGAAATGGACACCAGCGGTCATAATACAGTCACTTTCTGACAGTGATGACAGACGGTGATGATAGTTCTCAGGCTGTTGTTGGAGTGAGTACTCCATATGCACAGCCAGGGGGGAACATCCAGCAAATTGACAGGCAGATTCCTGTGGGCTATAACTGGCACCAGATGATCTATTAGTAATGAAAAATTGTTTCAGAAATTGCCTTGACAAATAGTGCAAAACAGAAACACTCCTAAGTATAAATAAAGCAAAGAAAAGCCAGGCATACTTTCCGAATAACTTGTTAAGCAAGCGGACATATATGACCTTCCTTCAGAGCAGCTACTGCTCCACTTAAAGGAAGTTAAAACTGTGGAAGTATTTTGGGGGTGAAGGTTAAAATATCTGTAAACCAATTCAATAGGAATTACAAACGGAAGAAATCAGTACAGTCAAAGGTTCCCTGCTTGTCAAATATGATATAACGTTTGTGTCGTGGTCCAAGAGCAGTCTCAGCACTGCTTTCCTTCAGTGTTTTGGAAAATGCAAACAGACATGTTAAGGCTGTGTTTCCAAGCCAATTGTATTCCCAAAGGAAGGCTCTGAGTAAGTGCTAGACAAGCTCGCCTGTTCCAGGACTGGCAGGAGGTTGCTGAATCATCCTGAGGCTGAAGAAATCAGAGGGTAACTCATGGTAATTACATTCTTCTTTTAATATAAGAATTTTGAATCAGAATATAAGAATTTGGTAGCTACGTTGTCCTTGGGGCCGGGTGTCTGTCTATCACTAAAAAAGAAAAAGGCCCTGTTCCTTGCTCATTTTCATTTTATAATGTTGAATCATTTTGCTTAATGATGTGTTCTACGAATGCTGTCCTGGGGCTGGGTATTGTCATTCAGTGTATTTGACATGATCCCATTTTTTGTCCCATGGGGGGCTCCCTTCTCCATCTACACAAATGTGTGTAAAACCATGACTAAAGAGAAGAACTAGGTGTGCAAATGGTTAGCAGCCCTGGGTAATTTAAAAAAAAGGTATTGAAGGCTTGTTGAAACCTCACTTCTCTTTCCACTTATTTATTAGAAGCTGAAATACTGTACAGTTTTAGGGTTGTTTTTTTTTTAAACCAATAGCATGATGTCTAGCAATTTACTCCTCCTTCTTATAGATAAAAATTCTGGATGCTGGATACAATGAGAAGTGGCTTGATTTTCCCCTCAATGTGGATAGAATTCACAAAACTTGTTCCTGGAATGGCTTCTTGGAATAGCTATGAACTGTAAGTTTAAAATCTGCCATACTATGAGGAAATAATTGATGGGAAAGTAAGGAAACATTGGCCCTGTCAAATTTTGGGCTACTCTCCCACACATATTTCCTATGGTTTCTCTCCCCAAAATCAAATAGTTACTGTACATAGAAAAAGAGAAGGAGAATGTTTTCTTTCTTTTTTCCTATATAGCTGCTGCTTTCTTGGTTTGGGTTTTACTTTTCATGCTGCTTACTTCAACTAATAGCTAAGTAAAATATGCAGTTTAAAGCTACAGTATCAGCTTTTTTTGCCATGTGTAGTTAAACTCTACACCTTCTAGGATGGCTGTGCATCCTCCACTAGGGAGGACAGTCCTCCATTTGAAGAGCAGAACTCCTTTTTGGTGATATATGTCCTCTTTGTCGATGACTTGTTATTGGCCACCCTACCCCCTAGTGAGTTTCCCTAAGTGAGCAGGGAGCCCCTTTTTATATTCCACAGTCCTGAGTGTTCAATATAGTTGGTAGATAAACTCTGCCTACACAGTGGAGCTGGCAGCTAATCATTTAGACTGAGTGACACCATAGACACTTTAAACACAAATATGCCATTGTGTTTACATAAGTAAAGAGGTCAGAGGAAGACAAACATCCACAGCAGATGACAATATCTTAGCTAAGGGTGTGATTACACTATGGAAATGAATCAAGAGAGGGATCAGGGGTTTTGACATTGGTTTAAAGTCACATGGTTTTTGGTTCAGTGTGTGCATCCTCCTGAGAAAACTTTTAATCCTTTTTCCCCAGCTCTTTCAAAAACACTTCCTTGTTTTGCTTACCCTTTCAACCTCCAGGTAGGGTGTTTTTGCTGCCTGATTTCATGCTTCTCTCCCTTTTCTTCCTCCCTCTCCTTGAACAAACTGGATCACACAATCAGCCGTGGAGTTGACAAGTTCCTCAAGTCCCCACTACCCAGGCTTTGTCGTGATACAGGGCTCACATGATGCTTTCCCCATGCCATTCTCTCTTTTTTACCCCACTCTCTAGCACCTATCCTTCCATGGGAGAAGGGATTAACAGGCAGCAGATGCCTTCCATCCAAATGGAAGCCTGCTTCCACCTCTTCACATTTTTTGATGTAAGAGGGGGAGGTAACAGGGATTGGGAACATTAAGATTTTTCAGTTGGTTGATTCAGAACAGCCCAGATTTTTTTTTCAGGGACAGAAAAGGACAAGCCAAATTCACTGTGAATCTGAGGGTGGGATGGTAAGAGGAATGTGTACAGTATAACTAACTGCCTGTCACACAAGAGTAATTATGGTCAAATGTGTTACTCCAAGTTCCCAGCCTTTGGCTCTCTAGTGTTTTGGATTTCAGTTCCCAGAATTCCTGGACTTAGGTCATGCTACATTGGACTTCTAGGAGTTAACATCTCAAGATTTGGAGGGCAAAGTTTGACAGCTGCTTTAGAATATTACTCCCTCTCCACAGTTTATAACTCAATGGAAGACAGTTCAGAACTCAGTGGATTGCATCCGTCTGATTTCTGTTTCTTTCCATCTGTTTTGATCCTGCCTAGGATGGATGGATTTTAATCAAGCAATTTAAAGCAATTTAAAGAAATCATCAAGATAAAGGCCAGTTTAAATCACTGCTGTCAGCCCATGCTCTCCAGTGCTCGTGTATTTTCAGAACACAGCTCCATTCTAACAATTTGCTACAATAATTCAAACGTTTTAGTTTGAGACTAAACAAAGCTTCTAGGCTCCATAGAAGTCCACATGCATTCTCCCATATGTAATTATCTACTTAAGGGCAAATTGCAAATAATGTTAATTGCATGGTTTGCTTTTATGGACAGGATTTTTCTTTCATGATCATCTGAAGAGAAAGGGGTCATGGTCCTTATACAGAATTGAGTGGAGGCTTTAACCATTCTTCACTGCTGTGTTCCTGGTGCAAATTAGTGTCCTGAACCTGTGATTTGCACAGCTTAAAAAGCTCCCATTGAAGCTAACAGGAGATTTGCTTCCCTTTGCAAATAACAGGCATCATTTGTGCTGAAAATATAGCATTGCCAAACGAATGTGCCCGAAATCTACATGCCAGGATCCTGAGCAAGGACCTTTTCCCAATGGCTACAAAGCAGAAGATTCCTGCGCTCATGGCATACTTCTAAAGTTTATACCTTAGGGTGGCCTTCATCTAATTATTTGTGGCTTTTTAATTAACTGCAAAGACCCTTAGCAAAACTACTTATTGAAAACAATGGCCAAAATCCTGTGTAGTAACTTGCACCAGAGTATGCCAATTGAATCAATGGGGATTTGGTGAGTCAACTTTCATAAAGTCAAACAGGTCTACTTTAACTGCAGCTTAATGGAACTTATGGAGCAATTTATTCATTAAATCCTCACAGATTAAATGATCTACTCTAGTGCAATTTACTATGCTAACAATTGGATTTTGGCCAGTGTGGTAAAGTATTAGTGTCACATACAGCACTGATGGTACCTGTCTGTCATGGGTTTGGAGGGAAAGTTCCATCCTATGGGGAGTGGAAGGCGGGACATCAGGGGGGAGGAGCTGTACTGTATATATATTTGGAGCTTGTGTGGAGAGTTAGGAGTTGGAGTCTGTGTGTCAGGCTGGGTACAACTGTGTGTCAGTTAGTACATACCTGATAGGTTCAGGTTTCTATTTAGGTAGCCAGAACTGATAGGTTCAGGGTCTGTGCGTTACCTTAAAGGGTTCTGGGGGAACCAATCTGTTATATGTGTGTGTTTGGGGTTATGCCACGTTACATTATCCTATTTACCTGATTCTTTTATGTACCCTGTTTGTTATTTCAATAAACCTTGTTCTTTTGTTTAGTAAAATCCATTCCTGGTCTGTGTGACTCCTTACAGGGAATGGTTGGTGGCAGCATAACTACATGGTGGCATACTCCAGTAGGTCTGGGGTTGCCACATTGATTGGTGTCCAGCGTGTGGGATACGACTAGTCCAGTTATCCAGTGGTCCAGCAAAGCCTTGGCAAGTGTGCCCAGAGCAAGGGGGGTCTAGTCAGGGAAAATCTGAGGGCGCGTAGGTAATCTTCTAGGCTTACCTCACGGGGAGGTACGCTAGTGGAAGAACGTGCCAACTCAGATTGAGGGGACTAGATTAGGGAGCTCTGAGGCAACCCGTTTTGGCGGGAAAGAGCTGAGGCAAAGCTGTGTGAAGTAACAGTGATCTAGCCTGTCTGCTGAGAGGCCTAGCAGAGGGGGTGGATTCTGCCTGGCAACAGTTGCAAGTTAGTGCTGAAGGAACAGCAGCAATCTATAGAAGGCTGTTTCTGAGGCAAAAGG